CGTGAGCAGCAACCCCGAGGGCAAGAGCTCCCTCCACTCAGTCCTGGTGCACTCCTAAAGAGCAGGGGCTCGGGGGGAGAGAAGCCCCCAGGCTCCCGGGGGAGAGGACGGGGGGATCCAGGGCATGCGTGCGGAAACCCGATCGATCTCATGACTATACCTCTGCTGGTGTCTGTGTTTATATCTTGTACTATCAGATTATTTGAGAGCCAGGTCGCAGGTAAGACCTTTTATCGTCGTTAAATGTCATTAGTGGTGGAGAGGCGATGTGAAAAATCACAGCCGGGGCCGAAGGGGCTGGCTCGGAGGAAAGGGCCGGGGGCGAAGTTCTCCCCGCCAGCCTGAGGCACGGGGCGACCATGCAGCCTGGGCTCACCGCCGAGCCCCTACCCCGGGGCAGTCACCCCGGAGGCCCCACGGAACCCGAGCTTCGAGAGGAGAATTGCTGCAGTCGGCCGGCGAATAGGGAGAGCAGAAGGATAAAACCCTTGCTGAGGTCTGCTTCTCCCTCTTCCACGAGAGACAGGAAACCTCTGCTCCACCGTCCTGTAGATCTTGCCGCGGAAGAGGTGGGCTAAGTGGTTACCTTAGGCCCTGGCCAGCTCCGGGGCCCCGCGACGTGTAATACTTGTTGCTTAAAGAGTAATCGTTAAATATTTCGATTAAGTAATGGGAATTTAAGTGATAACGGCACTGACGGCGAAGGGTTCCTTTGACTAACGATCACTTGGGCTTCCCCTTCACACTTTTATAATCCATCCTATTATACCTTAGAAGGGACTGAAGCGTCACCTGGCCTCTCAAACTGTGTGTGAGTGTCCGAATTCCCTAATTTCTCATTAAAATAAAAACAGCCCGGCGATTCGTAGATTGTGCTTTTCACATCACCTTTCACCGCTCACAGACACCACTATTTTGTACGTGTTGCTTGGCGTTTCTTCCACGTGAATGTGAACACAAAAACCTGCGGGGGAAGGGGGGAGGGCGAGGAGTGAAAGAGGTGAGGGAAAGTGGGGGAAGACGACAGGAAAATAGTTTAGAAGTTATTCGGGAAAAGCACTTTACTGAAAACAACCTTCCGATAGACGATAAGTCTGTGCAGAGGGATCAGAAGTCAGAAATCAGAAGTCAGCGAGCGAGGTGCTGGGCTGATGAATCCCGGCTGATTTGTGAGTGATTGCTGCCGTACCGTCTGCCCTGCTGTACACCAATGCTCATTAAAGCAAATCCATCCATGTGCTTCTGCTGGTGCTGCTATTTAAAGTACTCGCCTTTCACATTGGTTAAGAAACGTGTGCTTATAGCGTAAGTTTTCGCTCCCTCCCCCCAATCTGACAAAAGTATCCAAAAGTTTTCTCGGCTGCAAGCCAAGGGGAAGAAAGAGAAAGAAATATCTTACAAGTAAATTGACTGCTATGGGGGCACTGCGGTCCCTGCCCGCAGCTCACGGGCAAAGAACCTGCGTTCGGGTGTGAGAAGAGGGCGCCGGCTCGGAACCCGATCCCACTGAAGGCAGGTGTAGTTTTTCCAGTTTCAACGTGAGCTGGATCGCACCTGGTTCCTTGGTTTCATTCTCTCGTGCCGGCGCACCAGCAGTGGCCCGAGACTCCAGGTCTCAGTCCCTGCCCCTGGGAAAGGGTATCCTGTGACAGGCTGACCCTTCTTGGTGCCAGAGAAATTTGCTAGGAAAAGCAAACCCTTCTGGCCTCGAGCGTTGTCTGTCCAAAATTGTCCCTAAACACACCCGCGGGGTCTGTTCGACCATTTGAAATACCCCTAGAACTGTTGAATTTCCATCTGTTCCCTCTGTTCTAGGTGTGTTTGCACTTTAATTTCAAAAATTATAGAATTCCTAGCGCCTAAAAATTACTACTAATGAGGCATCATTAGTTATGCTAATGAGACACGTATCGGTATCACGGTTTGTGAACTGGTCTGGAAGGGGAATTGCCTCTAAAGTATTGCTCAGATAAACTGAGCCAAAAGAAATTATTAAAAACCAAACAAATAAACAAAAAACACAAAGAAAAAAGAAAAAGTGCTTCACGTTTTCTTTAGTCTGCTGTTTTTCATTTTAGGCAGAGACTCAATTCGATATTCCCATTTCTAAAACCAAGTTGCTTATAAAAAAAGCAGTCTGCCAAATAAATAATGAATAGCACTAGTTGTACATTAGTTTTATATGTATTTAAATATATTCCACTGATCTTGATGTAACTGCGGTGTAGGACTCCAAAGCACATCTTAAGGAACCTTACGAGTTTTCCCCTTACATCAGACAAAGGGGTTAGCGGGATGGAGAATTTGGAACAGGAGAAGAGCTAACCCTCCTGGGAATTATTCAAACGATTCTGGTCAGTTTTAAGATTTTGAATGACCTTCTAGATTTCATAGCGGGAAGACTTTTATTTGGTGTGAGGAGGCCTATCCGGGTGCCGCGGCGAGGTGTAAGCAGGAGGCTCCGGCCGCCTTTCGCACCCGGGCAGCTGGAGCAGGTGACGGTAACAGAGGCAGGGCGCTCGGAGCGGGGCTATCGCGACAGGAGGAACTCTGTGATAGGAGGCGAGACGGGCCTGAGGGCCGGGCCCTCGCCCATTTACCGGAGGGACACGCCGGGACGGCGGGGTACACGGGGATTTGTGGGGTACCCAGCGAATTGCGGGGTGCCCAGCAATCTGCACACACGGGCGCTGCATACTGCAGGTTTTCCCCACCACAGGGGCTTTGGGGAGAGGGGAGTTTATGCCATGGGTCTCTCGCCCAGGCGGCTTAGCGTGACTCCCAGTGCGGTGGCCTACACTTTGTATGAACAAAAGATGGTGATATTTTCTGTAGCTTGTAGAGTGAAAATTTTAGGGGGTTAGAACCTGCTAATTTCAGGTTATCAGAGGAGGAGGGAAAAATAACTATTCAAGTAATATTTTCCAACTTAGTTATACACCTATTTTTCCTTATTCTTAAGTACTTCATCTCTAAACATAGCCTTTGCAGAGTTACACAAATTTGCACCAACAACCAATAATCCCAATACTTAAACTCAATTCCAATGCTGCTTAAAACCAGATGATAATACAAAATGTAGAGAAATTAAATAGTATCCTTTCTTCCAAGCTGAAAAGCAGGTGTAAACTGGTGAAGGGTAAGATTTTTCATTTGACAAATAAAATAAGGAAGCAGCCTTGTGCCAACTACTAGATTTTGTCTGTCTGCTATACCAGTACACCTCATGCAGCAACAGCTTGTCCTCAGATTAAAGGGCACTTGTGCTCTGCACAGAAAAGGCAGCTGAGTCTTTACAGAGTGGGTGCAGGTAGAGTGTTTGTAAGCAGAAGAAGCAGATGCAAGGAAGACAAGCAAGCTCAATATTCATATTGTCAGACTGCCAAAGGTAGAGAAGTAATATTTATTACTAGAAGAATGGAGGCCTAAGAAAAGGCATTCACTTCATCTCAGTGTGTTTCTGGTTTATTGTGGCTAGCTAATGTAGTGATTGCTGTTTCTAGCCATGGGAAACTATTCCCATCCAAGACATTGCTTTGTGTATTTCATGTCCATCCATAGGGCACACAAATCAAGAAAGAAAAGCAAATGCAGTAAGAATCCCAGAATTAATATGGCTTATGGTCTAAACATGATAGCAGTTTTTCTGTGGATATGTTCTGATCTCAGTCATACCTACTACACTATGACAACCAGAGTTGTAACTGAAATTCTGGACTCCATTGATCCAGTTCTGGAGTCTCTCTGGACAAAAAATGATACAGAAAATCTGCTTGCAATTTTGCTGCTGCTGCTTGTGATAACAGTTTTTACTCTTAATTGTAAGACTTTATTTTAAATAATCTTCCTTAAAGTCTGTTTTAAAATAGAGCCTTCCCTGTAGGTGGTGGAAATATGTAATAGTTCTGGTTTTGAAAGTAAAATTTCACCTCAGCTTCTGAGTTTTGCTGAATATACGGTTAACCACATTAAGATTAACCACCTTTAGTTAGACAAACCAGCTTTGGTTTTAGACATCTAATGATAAAGACAACAAATTATAGCCTATGGGCCTCTTTATTCTGGACATATATAAGTATGTAACTTGTTTGTTTAAAGAATCAGTGATCCTGCCTCTTCGCTCCTACAATGTGATCACTGGCGCAGCCTGAGAAAAAAAGCTAATAAAACAGTCTTCTCAGAACCCTGGTAGGAAATAAATTCAAGATCACTTAAACTTAAAAGTATTCAGATTCACTTCTGTGTATCAAAAAAAAGTCATCTGCAAAATGGCACATGAAGAAAGTTATGTTATACAGCAACAAATACAAGGCACATGAAGTGTCAGATGAGACACAGGGCCTGGGTGTGTCTCTGCAAAGGCAGAGTCCAAGCGCCATAGGAAAAAACAAATTATGGTTGGAAAGATGGCAGTTGGGATAGGAATAAATGGCAGATTTTCAAATCAGAGTGCCAAATGGACAGGTGTTGGGTATCCCAGGAATTCATAATTGTGGTATGCAAAAGGTGAGTTACAGTCAGGAAAGTGACAAATGTTTGCTAATATTAAGTCGTTTAGACTAACAAAAAAGAATGGCCAAGAAATTGAGAATTGCTGAAAGACATCCACACTGGGTTACTGGATAATAAAGTGGAAAGTGAAATCCATTACTGACATATGCAAACTGCTATGTGTGGGGAAAATAATTCTGATTTTATATACATAATGAACAGTCATAAAGTCCAGATTTTTACTTATGTAAAAGTTATGGTACATAGCACTAAGAAAATGTTGTTTTATTAGTTATTAGCTGTGAAAACAGAAAAATATTGGCAAAAGAATAGAGAACACAGCAGAAAATACCATGTCCCTCTTTAAGTCTAAAGGAAACTGGAATACACCAGGGAGACCTGTGAGTTCCTCACACCTGAAATATACCTCAGGTACATAAAAACTGTCAGGATACAGAGAGAATCAGAGGTGATGATCAAAGGTACATCTTCTGTACATATAGCAATCAAGTAGTCTAAGACTTTTCAGCATGGAAAGCAAGGATATACAGAGGTATATGAAGCAAATTTACAAAATTATGAGTTACCTGGAGAGGGAGGCTGAGGTGCACTTGTTCATTCTTTCTCCTAATACCAGAACTGTGAATCTTCAGAAGGGTTCAAAGTAACCAAAAGCTGGGATGCTTCAAACAGCACACTACTGAACTAATTGTTGCAGGGTGTTCAGGGTGTTAAAATTTTACATGCATTTTAAAAACACATGGAAAATTCATATAAGATCACTGAGAATTGGCCAGAAAAACTCACTATCTTTTGCTCAGTTTTGCTATGCTAATAATATATTTCAGAAAATACTGTGATATATTTTTCCAGTCCTACTCTTTCTAGAGCATCCATTATTTGTTTACTGTTGGAGACAGGACACTGGGATAGAGGAACATCTGGGGTCACTTATGATAATTGTTCTTCATCAGAGAGGGGATCAGGATTTGTGACCTGTATTTGTAGCTAAGGGTCTCTAATGAAAGAAGTTCTTGAATGCTATTTCAGTGTATAATGTATGAAGGCAGACTGCACATATGCAGAGATGCATTTGCAAAGAATTCAAACTCCAAAGGCTAATCCCATGTGTTCTATATGAAAAATATTTTAAATGGTTCAGGAATGTACAAATTTCTCATTTCAAGAATAGTGCTGCATTCATTGGAATAATTTGCTTATTTTCTAGTGAAAGCAATTGAATCAGTTAAAGAGTTTCTGCATGATAGACTGAGCCTTTTTTATATTATGCTAGGATAATTGATATAGTAGGCTGCATATAGGCACAGATTTAAATGCTCTCTAAGATGGGGGAGCAACTCAGACATCTGAACCCTGGTACTGTAACAGTGGTGAGTCTATGCCAAACATCCATAGTGTTGTAGGCACTGGCAGAAATGCCAGTGTATTACTTTTGTCTCTATCTCCTTTTTAGTTACAGGACCAGTGAAAAGAAGCAGCTTTTTGAAGGAGGAAATAAACAAGTTCTGACAATAGAAAAAACATGTCTAGTGTTGAGTTTCACAGAGTATTAAAAGATATGTTTTATTGCACTTGACATCCAGAACATACCACAGTAACTTGTCATATTTCTCTAGACTTCACATGGAGGCTTAATCTACACTGGAAGAGGTAGTAGTTTCTGACAAGATACAAAACTCTGTTTTTAAGGCAAAAAAACCCTGGGAGAAAGTTGTAAGTTCACACTGCATGGACTGCTTTTATTATGTATTGCTTATTGAAATAATTATTGAACAATATATATTAATGACACAAGGATGACCAGTGATGCCTCAAATTTTTAAGCCAGTGTCATCATAAAGCAGTCATTTGGCAAGTAAAAACAACTTGATATTCCTTATCTACTAATCATGCCCCTCAAAATGGAGGTTTTTGGTGGAACACCAGTGAATAAATTATTAGGCAAAGAGGTCTTCCATGAGTAAGGGATGTTACTTTTTATTATCAGTCTTCAATTTACCAAAAAATAGACTTTTAATTCTGTGTACTATACAACAAACTCCCAGCATGGGTCAGGTCTTCCTTTGAGGTCGATCTAAATAATTTGAAGTTCAATCAATTATCAATTATGGATAAAAGTCCACAGAGAAAGAAGGAAAATGTATTTTCATCTATTGCTTGCACCATAGAACTGCTATTGGAAAATGATAATTTGCTGAAAAAATGTAAGAGAAACTTTTTGGTGTAATTGTAGTAGTCATTTGTGTTTTATGAACCAGTTGCTTTATGTGGTACGTGTGATTTGGATTAATTCTCTCCTAAGTCTTGAAATTAGGATGCTTTTAATCCCTATGTGGTTTTTTGACTGTGGCTAGTATGAATTTGTACCATAACAGAATAGTAAACATGCAAATTATTGTGATACTTCATATGCTTAATAAAATATATGGTTGAAACTGTTAGGTGCTTATATCTTTTTTAACTGATTATTAGTGACTATGAATTAGTGATTATGAAAAGCTTTCCTCGTACACATAGAAAAAAATGCAATGTAATGTGCTACATTGCTAGCTGATTATTACTGTACACAATTTTTAAAGCTGAATGGGACTGTTGGCATAAGACCTAGAAAGAGAATCAACTTATTGCTTCCTCAAGTATTTGTGACAGAGATAAAGAAAAAACCATAAAAGGATAAATATGATATATATCCAATGTTAAGTTACACCAATTATATCAGTAAAACAAATAACAAGTGAATTGAGAACCTTACTAAGTCTCTGGTATCTTTACATTATAGCTGTTTATAAGCTTTCTTAAAAATGGGAAATGCCCGGATATATTTACCAACTTTCAATTTTGTTGAAAACAAACATTTTGAAAACATGGGCTTCAATCTGGGGTCAAAGTCATGTTGCTGCAGATTTTATGTCTCAATAGATTTGCTGCTTTGTAAAGGTGTCTCTGTATCACCAGCATGATTCATCTGCAAATCTCCAGACAAATTAAGAGAAAATATATGGACAAACATCAGTGTATTAGACTGAGGAATTCTAAAGGAAAGAATAACAATATAAGCATAAAATGGGGTTAATAAAACCTGCAGGCATCAAATGCAAACTACTTTGAAACAACTTCATGTGTTTCTCTGGTAACCAATTTTTAGTGAAAATACAGGTAGTGCAACAATCTGAATATTGAACAGAGCTTCAGCGAAGAGTTTGGTATGATGGCGCCTGGAAAATCATCAGTGTATGTTGAGGAGAGCTAGAACCTTGCACAAAGGCTGACTATACACTGGTAACAAAAATTTATACATTTTAGATCT